TGCAAAGAATGCTCAACATGATAACTGATCCCTTTTCGGCTGAAAAGGGTCAGAATGTCCAAACATTAATTTGAACTCTACTGGTTGAATCAGATGCCAATTCTTAACTTTGCTGACTGAGCTTGAAAGCCAAACTTTCCTTAAAAGTTGATGTAGCTCAACAGTGATTAGCCTAAGTTTGTCAACTTCAAAGTATAGTAAACAGAATCAATCGATGAGACCTTGTTTATTCGACACATGGTCCTACTAGTCAGCCCAGGTTATGGGAAGTAAAAAGCCGCTGTGTCTCAGAGGTGATAAAAAAACCAATAGGTCAGCAAGCCGTTCGCATTTCATCCAGTTTCACCGGCATACATGACAACCAGATGAGAATCAAACCTCCCATTGTTGGATCACCTTTGAAGTCGTCCAAGAAGTTAATTTTAACTTTCACAGAGAATCATCATCGTAGGTCAGGCATCATCAGAGCCCAACACCGATAGATTGCTGTTGTATTATCACAGACAGTACACTTTGCGTGATAAAGGCTCCACAAGCAGTGCGAAGTATGATGAAACAGTGAACAACAGGTGAAACCTATTGGTTTAAGGATAAAGGGAGTCATCACTGAACACCTGCTTTACTAGTGGGATTAAACGAACAACAGGGACACTTAGATTCCTTTAGCTCTCTATGTCTACTGCAGGAACTGTTTTCCAAACGAGGTGGAATAGCGTGGGAAGAAATAGCTCGTTAACTCCGCGTTTAAAACCTCTTTCATTTTGAGATGAAACCTGAAGAAGTGCATCGACTTGCCAAATACCCCCCTAAACAAACTGATAGCGAAATAAGTTTCAAAAATATCTAAGTTCAAAACTCTCGTTCGAAGTGCTTTCCTGTTAACGGAACAATGTCCTGAAACTCGGTTATATCTGGTTTCTTTCATGCGGATCGTTTGTTGCCGTAGTTACTCCTACGGGACCGCTGTCAATTGCGGAGGACAATATGTTGTGAAAACGATTTTGTCACTCGCTTTAGCTTTTCGGCCTCAGCCAGTTGATAACATCATTAAAGCCTATTCTTCAGGATCACGGTGTAGTTTAGAACAGATTTTGGGTACATTGAGTCTAAAACATAATTGATTGATGTTGTCGCTGAAGCACAACAGTTAGAAGATCGGCGCTGTCGTGAATAATTAACTGGGACATGCTGCGATTTTGCGAGATTACTTTTCATCAGCGAGAGGCGGACATTGATGACGGAAATCTGGAATAAATGGATTTATTTAGATAAAAATGCGAATTTTGTATCGTAGAACACGAAACAAACAGCTGTTGGTGACTGTTCAGTGTGGGTATTCGGGATTATCAATGGAGAAATGAACGGCCACGACTACAAAATGTAGTGGCGTCGTGAATTTTACAGCCAAATTATGATGAAAATTTAATTTATGCGTCAATTCCCCATAATGTGAAGTTGCCGGTATGTACTACGTCAAACTAGAAAAAATGCAACGACGTAAACTGGCGTATCGATCGATAAATGACTGTGTAAATTCTAACAATTGATCCCCCAATCTTGACTCTTGCAACATGGCAATTCTCCAATCACCCTTCCATATTCTGTTGAAATAAGATAAGACCAATGGAGTAATAAGCTTTGGTCAACTTTCTTGGATTTTATTTGTGTGTTGTAAAAGTTACTATCAACTGTATTCACTATGCCTAAAAGGCCAGGCCTGAAGTGCGTTTGAAGAAAAAATGACACCCGCCAGACGATTCGATGCAATGAACGTCTGGGATAACAGCAAGTCAGGTAGGTTGGTCAAGTATTCCTATCTCCTTATGAGCAGAGATTTAAGATATTTTCCTACTCCCCTAGGTTGTACCTTGATCGATACATTCTGCTGAACAAGAACAACAGAATTTTCGGGCGTTTGTGACAACCATCAGAAGATGATGAATGGCTATTGTTTTGTTTACGATTAACACGTCGACTGCTGTTCGATTAAACAAGGTTGGAAATTTTTTAAGTGTGTCACGATAAATTCTTATAAGGGCTAACTATGTTGTCTTGTAAAATGCTGAATGGCTATTGTTTTGTTTACGATTGACACGTCGACTGTTGTTGGATTAAACAAGGTTGGAAATATTTTACGTGTGTCACGATAAATTCTTATAAGGGCCAACTATGATGTCTTGTAGAGGGGAGAACAATTCCTCCGTTGAAGCGGACATAATCTATGGTTGGATCATGGCTCAAGGAAGTCCAGGCCCAAGACTACCACTGCTCACATCCAGAAAATGAGTTCGAAATTTATTGAAGGGTTCACACCTACTGTTATATATTACTTTCCACCCAGCCAGCCAGCCAGCTGCGCTTTTTAACAGACAGTGATCTGTTGCCACTGAGGCTGTGTAAACTCCATTACATGATCTGCGAAATCTGTCGGTGAAAATTCCTATACATCCTTATTCACACAGTGTGCAAATGCTAAAAAAATCACGCACAGTAGGTCCCAAATCAGCAAATCGTGTATGCACATTTAAATCAGTCGTTATGACCTGTTTGAAAGCACACAAGAATGGAAACAAGCAACTAATATTGCACCTACAATAACTGCCGATCATAATGTAATGTAATACTAAACACTCCCTCTATTGCAGTCCCCGTGCAAATGTCTCTTCGACTGTTCATGAAAACACCCTCATGATGAAAAAGATGGTTTTAAAATTCTCCCAGTAGAAAGTTGCAGGTCAGCTTTTTGGCTTGAGCTCTTTTTTATTTCCAACACCACCGTCAGGCTTGTCAAATATTCGTCAGTTTAGTAAGCATTCCATGTCATGAGTAGCCGTCCACCTTAAAGTTCACATGTGTTAAAATGCCTGCAAATACTCAGACCCAAGTACATCTGTCCTGAACAACAGTTCGTTTATGCCCAGAGGTGTAGAGTAACAGCGGTGCTTTGCAGTTATTCAATGATCCCACCCAGCTGAATGCCGTGGGAGATGCCCAGCTTTCAGTGCAAAAAGTTTGATATACTTCGTCTTTTGGGTTGCTAAACCATGGTCTCTGCGGTCGGATGCGCTGCATTGACAAACAATCTCCAGGTGACTGCCTAGTTGAGCGTCTCTAGACTCTGGAGTTTTTCAAAATTGTTTCCATATAAACGTATCCCTTTAGGGAACGCATCCCTCCAGGGAACTCTGAAGGTAAGCCACCCTCTCTAAGTGTTCATAAAGCTTTCGCTGCCACAACGGTAGCTACCTAACAAGGCGCTTACCTCATATAAGTCAGTATCGTCAGCTAAATAAACCGTGGATAACACCGTATTTGGTCCGTGTAAAGTTCCTGGCTTAAGGGGTTCATTCAGGTTTTTTGCCGATCCTGTTCAAATGTCGTGTTATGGTTTGGGCTAAAAGAGGATTGTTGTCGCTGATTTTTTCCCAGTCAGTCTATGCTGTTGAGTAAGCCAGTTAAGCGGAAATTTGTTTATTGTGGTCACCGTTCAGTTATTGCCCAGATTGTGGAAAGTGGATTTGTCGTAGCATAACAGTTCCCGTACCTAAAATAACAAGGTCTTGAGATATTTTGTAAATGCAAGTAAGGAAAAAATTCAGTGGGTCGCGTAACGTTCCGCTCGAAGGCGAAAAAGATTCTAACGTCGGCGGAAATCATCGAGGAAACCAAGGTGAGTGGCGACCGCAATGTGCCATCTTGCTGTTTGTCACCGTGGTGCCCAAGAAGCTCAACGCATAGTAAATACTGTACAGACAGGAGTCCACCAAGAGATATTGTTAATCTTTGGTTTCAGCTCCAACGAATTTGTTTGTTGGAATTACAAGTAAACGGTGAGAACATCAGTGGTTAGACAACCAATTATGTGTTGATGGACACCAGCTCCATAGAAGGCAAGCGTAACAATAGAATTGTTACCAGGAATCATTCGGCTCTACTAGACAAAGACTCCGGTGTGCGTCCGACTGTGTGAAAATACCTTTGAACTAAATGGATTCCAAGAAAACGGTAAGCAAAAACCGCACCACATGTATCCATTTAAGGCTGTCAATAATTTTACTATTATCCTGCTCTGTGAAACTGTTCTATGAAACTGTGAAACTGTTTTTGGCGAATTTATTCTTTTACTCTTTCTCATAGACCATGTGCGAAAAATATCAAGTTAACTTTTGATGATTTGCTATATGGGCAGATAGGTAGTGCATTTGGGGAGAGTAATTTCGGTTTAGTTTCATCGGACGTGTGGTTGTCATATCGGCACTTATTATCCCCAAACTTATTTGGATTCCATTCACCCCCTACTATTCCACGTACTGCTACGGCGCTTTACCTTCGTACTTATGTAGATATCAACCAAAGGATTATTGAGACGGTGTCTGAAACATTGGACATTCGCACTACCGATCACGTCCAGTGGGCTTTAAACGTTTACAGTGAGCAGGAGGATGGTGGGCTAAAGCAACTTGTCTGCAAATCGATCAGCCATGTGAAGGCAGTGAAAAGCTTTACGGTGTTCACACTTATTTAGTCGTCACGCTAATAACTAGACAACTATTATGTTGGGGTTGATAGGGTATTAATTGGTGGACACAAATTTCTTACACTGTGAAGAAAAAACTACACAGGGAAAAGTGGAAAGTTGAATAAAAAATTATCTTATGTGATCGAGGAAATCCACAAGGAATGAAAGCTAATCAGAAACTGTTTGCCAAAAGACACATGAACATAAAATGCTTAGGCGAAAAAAACGTGTGAATAATCTTGGGTTCCTTGATGTGACACATGCATGGTTTTGACCAGTTAGCGAAATAAAAGCCTACATATACACATGAAAAGTATTCACTAACTTTGTAAACAATGTTTCTAACAATCACTGAGTAAAACTATAAAGCCGTGAACTCACTCCGGAGTTTGTTTGGATCACGCTCAACGTGAACTCATGTAAATAGATTTAAGGCGAAGCAGGCTATATTGAAGTATTTTCAAAAATCTCAGGTCAGTAGTTACGTTATCCAACGTTTCGGAGGAAGTTTGTCTTGGGTGAATCGTGGCATAATGACCAAGCATACAATGGCATTGATGGTAGAAAGAAGTAGGTACACTACCATTTCAATGCAATCTAATCTGGATGCAAGCTTTCGGTAGGGAAAAGTTAGTTCTTTATTTATAAGTTTCCTGCGGAAACGGTGCCTTGCTGATCGCGAATTCGTGAAGCCTCTGAGTGAATTATGACCCGGATGTTTTTGTATCATTCTGGCTGCATGAAAGGCTGCGGCAACTGCTGCCGCCGTAATTTTTGTTGTGAGAGTTTTGCTGTCCATGGGGTTTTCGTAACCAAACTCTTTTTCATCGTCAGAAGAATACAATGAAAGACGCCTCCTCTTGCTCGTCTTTACTTCTTTATGGAGACCGAAGCGATCTTTGGATTCCTTTCGCCTTGTACCTTCCAGTGAACCAAAGCGGTGGGAGTGGATGTCTCGCTGTAGCAATTTTGTTGCAGCCAGTGTTGCTGCTGCTGTTGCTGAGATGGTTGTTTCGAATAGCTCTGGGACTGGCCGGGCCAGTGTGTCATAATCATACTCAGAGTTCAACGAGTCTTCTGTGTCGAGTACTTCGGATAAGTTGTGGAAGTTTTCGGTTTCCACTTCGTCCTCTTTCACCATTTGATCCATGATCGTTAGTGGTTCTACCCAAGGGGAGCGATAATCCGATTTTGAATTTGAACAAACAGGCACGAATGAACAAGGATCGTTTAGTAACGCGGATGAGGTCACATGATTGCACATGGGATGGTGCTGCATATTGCCAATCCCCATCCATGCTTCTCTACTTTGGAATGCATTAGCAGATTTCTGATTGGTTGATTTAGTTACCCCAATGATGGGGCTGGTATAATTCCGTTGATATGCACGGAACGCTGAATTGCATTTTTCGTATGGTAAGGGAGAGCGAGTTTGTTCCTCTGAATAGTGCACACGTGAGGCATTATCCTCATCATCAAAACTTGTGAACTGGTTCGCCATACAACCAACTTTGTCTTTCTTGTGCTGCGCCGACAGATGGTTTGAATTTAGTGACGTATGCTTTTCCCGGGGCAGCTTATGCTCTCCCGTGTCAAATTTTCGTTCAAGTTCCACTTTTCCTGATGTCTTCCCATAATTTGACCGTACGCGGGGAGGATTGTATGCAAAAGTAGCATGCGGATTTTCTGTTTTCTTACTTTCACCAGTGCCCGATATTGCATATATCCAGTCTTGCCAAGACATAAGTTCGGTTGCTTGATACAGCTTGTTATTGATTACTGCTAGCACCGTTGCAATGCTGAGCAACCCAAGCTGATCAAGCAGGAATATACCTGAAGAGGGATGAAATAAAGCGGTTAGGTATGTGGCCAACAAGACACAAGATACGTGCCGACAACTACGGATTGCAGTGCACAATCTGTACTGAAATGTCTTGACTTCAGTTTAGCGTGTAGGTGAAGCAGCTACTTTTAGTATTCTAGAGGATGGAAGTTCATTCTTACTTAATGGCACAGTCTTCAGCTACTTCAAGTTTTGCTTTGGTTGATATCTTATGTGCGAACATTTACTGGTCTAACTGTATCGCCATAAACGGTGAGCAAATCAGTCAGAAGAGGTGTACAACAACACTATGTGGAAATGACGACTTAGTCAAGGAGCACAAACATCTGGAAAGCTTTGAGAGCATCCTGTGTTAAAAATCTAACAAGAAAAACTCTCTGAATGATATGAAAATACCAAGTTGCTCAGGTGGTTTATTAGTCTGGACATACAAGTGATCACGGTGTTGTGGACAAAACTATCTCCGCAAATGTAGTCAGAGCACAATAAAATATGTCACCAGCTTCAGATAAAAATCACAGAACTTTACTTATCCGTCATGTTCACAAAGAAGCGCTAATCGATAACGGGCAGACAGATGCCAAGATCATACAGACGGTTAAATAAATGATTACTTTTATTCCACCAGATGCTTACCTTCCGCTCACTAGCCTTACTAAAACTGTGGAGCCATCAGGTATCTCGTGCCAGATAGCACTTTTCGAATATATGTTAGATTGGCTACAGGCTAAAGGATTCAAAGCTGATGCCACTGATCGCAGAATGCATAAACTCTCAGGTGTCAAGGAATACTGAATGTGTCTGGATCTATTTTATGAACTTAAGCGGACTCTTGATTCATTTATCCTACTCCTTCTCTCGTGCGAGCTTCCTGGAACCGATGTGCAATAAACTGTTCTGTAGATAATGCACAATATGTTGCTGGTCATGAACCGTTACTTGTACAAGGTCTTTAATGGTTATGCATTGTCACAAGGTGCCCCTAGGAACGGTCAAGTCATATTGGACTGTGATCAGCACAAAATAATATCACACGATGTTGTTGCTAGCAAAAACTTATCATTCTTCAAAACCATTCTGGCATCACATTTATACGACTATGCACAGTGTACCTACTTCAGTTTGAGTCCAGGCTTCACATAAAACAGGCCTAAACTTGAATAACTCCTAGCCCTAGTTCACACCAAAAACAATCTATCCTGACTGCCATCCCGCGCCAGAGAAATTAATTTAGTACCAGTCAGCTGAGGTTTCGTCAGGTTCGTTCTGACATGTGTAAATCAAATTTGTTTATTTTTTTTACTTAGCGATCGCATCCCTCTATCAGACGATCAACTGTACTCCAACATTCAAATCTCTTACTTTAACCAATATCGTACGCACATCCTGTATTTCTCTCAAGCTGTGGTTTTTGCAAGCTTGCTAGTGGCTAGCTTCCCTGCGTTCGGATGCTATTTCGGAATTCTTCCTCTCTCTCTGTCGCCGCTGCGGGCGACAGAAACCTTACCTCATGCACAAATCTACTAAGTTCGTTCTTCAGTGGCATTGTTATGTTACTTTGGTGAACGAAATCGCCTTCTAACCTGGCCTAAAAAAAACTGATACACCTTCTTATGCAAGTAATTTAGAGTAAAAAAAACTTTAATGTCTTGTTTGGATTGTTTCAAGTAATCATCATTATTTTTCAGAGGTAAACCCTAGAAATGCTATCAAAGTATGAGTGCCCCCCTTCTGGTGCAAAAAATGGGGATTGTTGAGCACATGCAATACTGCATTTCCATTCTTCCACAGAAATCACATATACAGAAATGCATTGTGTTTTGGGCGAGTTTACATTTGTTATCTGTTGGTACTGCCACACCTGTTTCGACAGAGAGTCAATGTTAAACTGATCCATGTGAAAAGACTTTTCAGAGATGTGAGCATTTCTAACTGAAACAACTCCCGAACAACCAGACCAAAGTTGTGGTATTGTGTCAGGACCTGTGTTTCCATAAAATCCTGATGTATAAACGCATCTGTTGGTGAAGTCTAATCTCACCATAGAACCCATCATGCTGGAATTAGTAGAGAAGGATATACGCCTAGTGGAAATAATACAGGACTCAGAGATACCATAATCTTCATTAGGGTACAATGATACAGCGTCGAGTTTTGGGATAGTATAACATGTGCGTCATGTCTTAAGTCTCCACTTGCTGTGGATATGAACAGGAACTAATTTCGTGACTCTCGTAACCAAGTACTCTAACGATGTCCCCGGCTATGTCATAAAGAATTACACTGCAAGAAACTGCCCCATAGTGCTCTCCATGTATTCCACGAAGAGTGAAATAATGAAAAATGGTTTTCTAGCACTCAGACGAATAGCTTACAAGTAAACTTTTATACTGATATTCTCTCGAATAGAGCGATTATCTCTCATTCAACTAGAATTGAACTGGGGAGCTCAGTGTAGACTTCAAAGGCCTGGGTATCTAAAACTTCTTTTTGCTTTTTGGCGTGAAACATAGCTGTCTTCGTGGTGAATAACACTCCAATGTCTGTATTTGTCGATCAGCAACCAAATTATACCACTGTGAACGAGCTGGAGAGATATGAATGCTTCAGTTAACGGGTAGACAGAATATTGTGTTACTAGAAAACCACCCAATTAGGCTTGAGGAAAAGAAGATATTTTGAAAACTTGATGCTTTCGAGACATAAACTCACGATTAGTTGTAACTTTCTAGAGCCGGTATTTTAATTATTGTGGGCAAAAAACTGTCCACCGTTTATGCATGTTTACACAGGTACTTAGTGTCACCTGCCGACTTTCGTCCTGTCCTTGTTAAGTGTTTTAACACTACTGCACAAAACAAAGTGGTCCACTGAAGCCCAAGTGATACAAATTGAAGGATCTGAGTGGTCTTTACTTTAAGAATCTCATTGCATTTTCGTTCAAACACCGCTACATTAAACACAAAGTGCTCGAATTCGCATTGTGTGAATTTTTGTGAAAAACATGGTAGGTAATGGAACTGCTTAGAAATATTATTGGAAGATAGTGCAAGAAAGCAACGTAGAGCACGGCGCGCAACATTGGATATCCGCTTGTCACGACTCACTTGCTTTTCAAAAACGATGATGGAGACAGGAACTACCGAAGATCTTTTCTCGACTAAGCTATATGTTCTTGAAAAACTATGTCTATCTTTCTAACTATCTATCTCCAAGTTGATCAAGCAGGCATCCCAACCTTTTATGATAAGTATCTGAACTCGAATTCGGGGTAGAAAAGCCTCCAGACAAACTATAATCAAGCTATACACATTTCAGAATGTCCAAACTCTGCACACATTTGTGAAGATTTCGAAGAAAAAGCATCGAGATTTCTCTTCATACTACTCTTCATACTACTACATTTGGAAATTTTAATAGAGATCCCGTCCTGCAAGCCAAGTTAGTTTATAAAGAAAAGGTGGGAATTACTGTACAGCTACTTCATTCCTATCAGTAATGATTGGAAGTGTACATCTAGGGCATTTAGAACCACTGACCTCTGCTATTCGGTTAAGAACGACCTAGCAAAATGATCCTAATGATTTTATGAAAATTTATTTACGTATGAGGCGTAATGTCACAGATAAGGCATGGGTTGTGATAATTTTTAAATCATTTCCCCTATGATCACGTTCTTGCGAAATGCTGTAAAAAGGTTTCATTCACAAATTAGACTTGGGGAAAAAGACCACTTTTATTAAACATCACACTCACGCAGAGGTAAGTGGTGTCGTTTAAGGCGCATAAGACGTTCTTTTTCGCACATCTTGTTCACCCGAGTCTCCCGAATAAAACGTACCACATCTTCTATTACGTATTATTTTTAACCAAACTTATTTGGATAAATGGGAAACAGCGGCAACCGCACTTCCTGCAACACACGTAAAGTCATCAGTATTAGTCCTGGTACTGTTCGAATTCATGGCGAAATACAAGTACAGACGAAGTGCGTCAGGGCACGTATTCAGTCACTGTAGATGGGTGCAACTATTAAAGCGGTAAGCTGTACAAAAGATTCTCATTGCATTGTTTAACATGAAAAGTAGTCTAACTCAAAAACTGAACATCCATGGAATGGTCATTTTGGTTTCTTGTTTAAACAGAATTTCATTTCAGTTAACTAGACAAACTGCAAGATTAATTTGAGGTGATTTTTACCTATCTTCCCGGGAGAAACACTTTTGGAACTAATTACTCACTTTCCCCCTAGAGACTTCAAAGTCATTTTTCAGCAATAGTGAGACCAGCATATTTTTTGGATGACTCTATCCAGGTGAAATTCACTTAAATTTCTTTACGCTGTCCTTCGGTAGTTTTTTGTTTGAATGATGTCGGAGGCTGCATTTGTGTACAAGTGTCTCACTGGAGCGTGCAATCGACACATTGCGTCGGTAGATGTAGACGAGCGTCAAAAATACTTTACCAAATTCAAAGGGTATACCAAGCCAAATTACAAGCGCGCAAACGCGCACGATGCAATATGATCCAATACTAATTGAATAAAGTTTAAATTTTCTGTTCGACAAGAGTGTGCGGCAAACAAATCCAAATCAATGGACGAAGAGCTAACTTATGTCCCAGAATACTGGCTTAATGGTTTCGATCGCCTACCTACTCAACCAAATATTAAATTGGAAGAAACGACAAAAGTCAGTTCAATTTTCCCGTCCCAACTAGTTGAGTAAAATAGCGATCAGAAGTGCTGAAAGCTGTCTATGGTGAGTTGTTCCGGTGACTGAAAGGTAATTGCAGTAAGAAGCATTTAGTGACAAGCACTTGTTTTCGAAATGAGAACGATTTAATTTATGGAGTTTACGACTAAATAAACAAGGGGTTTGAATCGATTTCTAGAACAGTAGCACATTTCAGCTGACGTTTAACACAACGCTAAACAAGAATCATACTGAACTGTAGAAGAACTGTAGAAAAATGAATGGCATTGCGCTTTAGGTGAATTTTCAGCACTCAGAATCAGGTATAAAACGCGTCTGTACAATCCTTGGTGCTGTGAGTTACCTAGACCAGAGTGCTGGTTGGAAACGGTTCACAAAAAATCATTCTGGGCTCAAAAGACACTGGGCATACATACAACATTTTCATGGGTGTCAGTTGGACGATTATAATAGTGGCTGACGATGCCCAAAGAGAACCTGTGTAGCTCAAACGCAATAAAGGCCCTTGTCCCGATCTGCTTCATTCTACTGTTTTAGGAAAATGGGATGTTCTCCCTGATGTTCCCCTGACTCTGTTTACTGATATTTTCAATTATGTCTGCAGGTTAGATATCTGATTACCTGCGATCACCCGTTTTAATTCACCTTATTGAACAAACCCTGTCGGCATTCGCTTCATTTCCACAACGTGTCATCTTTTGAAATGATGTTGCTGAAAGAATGAAGGCAACGCACGAGTTGAGAAACCTCCATTTTTTTATAGATACACAGGCTGCAGGGGTGAAATTGTAGAAATGGAATTATTTCGTCACTCAGAAGTGGGAGAAGAATAATGGATAGGTCGGAATGGTGTTCCTTATGTGCATAACGACATCGATCATGATACTCTTAACTCTTTTCTGCTATCCTCGTACACTTTCATTTCTCCATAATTGTTTTTCCACGTATAGCGAACTTACTCCGTTGACAAAATTTTAATTGGCTGTCGTTCACGTTGCTGTGTATTTCTTACGATAAGATTCATAGTTCCTTTCCAGGTTACCTATACGACATTTATGAGACTAGCTTGTTTGCAGTTTCCTGGCCTGATTGTAGAGCGTTGTTTGTGTATCTCTTTATCGTATGCTTCTCATCACCATTCTTTATTTAATGAGTGTGATCTTGCAGTGTGCAAATAATTGGATGAAGATGCTTTTAGGTTGTCCAAAACTAGGCGTGCTGTGCATCGATGCTTTCGGTGAAGTGTGTAGTAGCTCCATGAGCATGAAAGAACTGGTCGCAAAATGGAAATGCTCTTTACACCATTCCGGTTTGAAATCCTTTTGCAGCGTCTTCATAGGAGGTTTGCATGGATAAAGATTTGTAGGCACAACTAGGAAGGGTTGCACTGCATCGAGATGAAGATTAGGACGGAAAGCCTGTATACAGAGGACATGGACTAATGTACATTTTCCAAATGGGCAACATTACATTCACCAAGCCTTGTTGAATGAACACGTTTGCATTGCCGCTGTACATACTGCGCCATTATATAACTATGATGGCGGGGCGACTTACACACAAGGTGTCCGGTGTTTATCGATCGAGGATACCCTTATTTGCTTAAATTTCATCACATCCAATGAAAGAACTGCTTTAGTCACGAAGAAGTGCATCGATGAGTGTTTGGCTTATCCAGCCAAAAACTCTAGAGTCTACCATTTCAACAGAACAATCACGGTGGTTAGGCCATATATGCATTTGGTCCGGTCGTCTAGAGGTGAAATTTCTCAAGCATTCTGTTTGTGGCTTTGTCGTTAAGTAGGTTGAAAGTTTTGGCACGGTTCCGAAGTTATCAGACGGTCTGTATTGAGAAATGTGTCAGTTGTATGTCATGCACGCGATGTCGAAGGGCACCAATATTCTGGCACGTTCAGCGGAATCCAACAAGTTCCCTTTTCCTGTAGTTCATTTGAAGGCAATTATGAATCCAATTAATTGCGCCATATACGTTTTGAATGTAAATACGCTTTTCAACGCTGTTAGCATGACCAAAGCAAGAAAACAAGTGTTTTCGTCAACTGAAGAATACATGACCACTCTGATATTGTCCTAAGAGCGGGTTTGCATTATGAAGCAATCCTGTGTCAAAGCCAGGTGTTAAATGAACCTAACATCAACTAAATACTTACTGCACATTTGTTTAGGCATTTGAAGAAAGGTCCAATAGAAGAACAGCTGAGTCAGAATCAACAAACGGAGGTCATAATATCGAAAGACCCATTGGCTGAAGTGACTGGCTTGTCGAAAACACTCAGCATGTCTTGATGTATTGTGTGATTGATCTACACAGCAAGACATTTCAATTCATGATCACGAAGGACTGATGCCAGAAAGTGAGATATGAACGTCCCAGCAGGTCAGTGGAAACGTGTCAAAACAGTGTATTCTAATGAAAGAATATAAAACGCCGTTTTATTTTCCGGTGAAGCAGTCTCTTTTGTGTTTCATATGTTTCGTTCCTTAAACCTTAGGCAACGCTCGCAGCTGGTCTTTCGGGAGGCATGTGAACTTATACAGAAAAGCCCACATGCATTTAGTAAACATATGCGTTGACGGGATACTTTCATTTGGGATGCATTAAATATTTTCTATCGCTCTACATCAGGTGAGCTAATATACTTTTGATGCCACAGGGATAATGCGAATGCACTTGAGGCTTCCTGTCAGAATATAGCAAGTCAGGTAAGCTCATAGTCTGCCGTCTGACAGGGCATGACTGCAGAACTTTAATCCAAGGACGCTTAGGGACAGCCGATTTGTTTTTAAGCAAACAGCTACCTTGGATATGTGAGCGGATGATTTCGCTGTGTACAGTTTGGTTTAGACATCGCGATATGTAACCGAAACGTTAATCTCCCACAATCTTCGTCAACTGGCTTCTGTTTTAAGTTCTAATTCAGTCATTTAACACCACTCCAAAATATGCGAACAAAGAGCTAAGCTAGGAAGAATTCATGACTTACCAAGGACCGGTAGCGTGCGCATTGATCGCGGGGCATTCGTAGAAACAATGACCACATACATGGTCATACTGAGCACTAGGGAAAGTGCTACAGACAATCGATCACCAGTATCGTCCAAGGTGAATATTAGACATGCCAAAGCCGACAGCATGGAAAATGGAACCAAGACAAGGACGACGAAATACAGTGGTTGACGTCTCAGGTGTATCCCAATGCTGACATACTGATAGGTCACATTCAGGTCACTCCTGTACTTGCGGCTGGAGAAGTGCACCGACTGGATTTCCCATTCACTTACATTGGAGTTTGGTAGATAGCTATTGTCAACCGCCGATCCATGTGTGAACGGCCTGAGCAATAGCTGTTGTTCATTACTTTGCCAAGGTGTGAGAATCAAGAAACAAGTCTGATAGTCAAAAGGGAAAAATGCCACGTCCAATGGGCACGTGGTATCCAACACTGCTCCGTGAAGCCAAGTGACCTCACCCTGACTGCTAAGCGTCAGGCGTCCGCGTACTCCGGCACTGAAATCGAAGTCGGTGCTACTCTTTCCATTCATTACTCCAACATCCGGTATCCATAGTTGGCCAGAGGGTACGTTGACCTCAGCAATATCTGAAAATTCCTGGGGATCCCAGGTCAGTCGTGGATCGCGCCATTTCTAGCAAAATTTGAAATAAAACGTAATGTTGAAAATTTTACATGAAAGCACTCTGATTGGTCAAGCATTTGGTGTGCCAGAAGGAAAGTTGGGTGTATAGGTGAATTTCAACCATATGAAGTCCATATGTGCAGTCAAATACACTAGTGAAGGATCTCGAAAATACACTTGATTTTTGTTTTTCTTTTCGTAGAATTTCCCCGACAAAATTTAGGCTCAAGCCACTGTGCACTGACGAGTCGAATAACGAAATGTAGTGAGTACGGTTGGACAATAAAGAGATGGTGACACAAGTAAGTTGAACCGCCACATACACGCAGCCAAACCGAGCTCACCAAGCTAATCAATGATGGCAGCACAAGTGATCAAAGTAGCTTGTCTGAATGGTAATCACAACCGCCACAGGCAGTCGGTACAAGACATCATCACTCTGATGTCATAGGAATTCACTTGCCTACAGTCAAAGCAACGGGTCATTATGGCCCATCATTATGCCCAGGCGCACTGCTGATGATTCCCAATAAGGATGAAACAGCTGTACAGTGCTTCTCGGCTTTTCAGCAAAGAGTGGCTTCACTTACAGGACGAAATCTCCACACACAAAAAGAAAACCATATATTTTTCCAAGCGCGACGAAAGGCTTTTGTTTCTCCTTGCTTTGCTCTCTGCGCTTATTGTTTCGGAACACCATGAGGTTGAGCATTCTTCTATTTTTTATTATTGGCCTTTTTAGACAAGATGTATAACTGAAAACTTTGGCTACTGCTGTGTACAGCCTGCTTATCAGCGCGAAAAACAGACTGGCTGGTGAGTGCTCTTACCACCGAATGTTGAATAGTGCACAGGACCCCTGATTACAGTAAGTGGAATGGCTCAGAGATTAGAACGCGCACTCACTGACCAGAAGGCCCGTGGTTCGAACTCGGCTCTCGAATTTTCCTATCTAGTCTTGGGTAACCTTAAAGTATCCCAGCCCTCGCGTTTCGCTTAGCTGGCATGGAAGTTAGCACCGAAAGGATGTTACAGCTGCCCAGTTACAGTAAGCTGCCCAATATCTTATCATACACCGAGTGTCAGTGCAACCCAGAAGAATTGCGGCTTAAGGGGCACATGTGTGAACCCTGTATTACTTGTCAGGCACTTGATCAAAGGCCACTCTTTTGAAACTGTTGCGTTTTTTTGAAGACTTAACTGATACACACATTCTCATTAGTTGACACATGTTTAAACGTGCACAATGCTTCAAATATTCAAGTTAGTTTTAGTCCCTAGTCCATGAATGCAGTGGTCTTTTTGTTCGGCAACACATCTAACGAATCTATATGCAGCCCATGGAGAAAAACACTAGCATCGACAACAGACAAGCAAACTATATATAATTTAATGGCCTAATTTATGGTACTTTCCATTAAAACGCATAAATACAGCCCTTGAGACGTCTGAAGTTTTACTCTTTGAGTGTTTGACAAAATAATTCGGTTCCGGTTCAGTGGAAAAACCTGACTACAGTTCCAGTATTCTGTAAAATGAAATAAAGCCCCAAGAGTAGAATTAGAAGTCCGAAAAGGTTACTACTGAAGTTTATTGAATTTAATTACCAGGAAACCGACTGTTACACACTAGAAATGATTTGTACATTAAGATTCTTACTGGATAGGATATTCATAGTTTGATGTGCTGCAGCATTCAACTCTGTTTTGGAAACTACACTTGACTGAGCAAGAAGTGAAGCGTGCTGTTGTAACAAACATAGTGAGCTCTTTCTAAGAAGAGGAAGGTGACTAGTACTTAAGGTTTTTTACGACTACGACAATCAATTCCGGACAGTGACGCCTTTGGAATTCAAGATTATTCCCCCGTGAGGCACCTTACGACATAAACACGTTTTATTATTTGTGCAGGTCTTTCCACTGTCTCTTAACCACCGGTCACAAGTCATCAACGCTATAATTGGGCTGACGCTTCATGTCTGTCCTACTTAGGATTTCGGGAAATATGGGCGTTTAATAACTTTTGGTTGGCCACCATCGAACTATGTTTAAGTGGCATACCGAAGATGGACAAGCAGACAGCATGGATTGTTACAGAAGTTGACATAACAAAGTATCGCGAAGATTGATAGCAGCATGAAAAGAGTTCTACATGAGGCAAAATACTAATTAGATGGCTAATGCAATCTCGCCATCGCGATGGACTTCAAGTTATTGAATACTAATTGCCGTGGTGACAAACCCCCCATTATGGCTAGGGGGAAGCAGCAAAATTTAATACTGGTCAAAGCTAATCTTCAGGTGATTTACTGACTCATAAAAACGTAATAGCCACGTCCCTCATGGTGGTGGGTATAAAATTGCGTGTCACTCGAACTGTGCGGTAAAAGCAGCCAGTACGGATGAGATGGCCCCTTTGAAGAGCCGTTTGTAGCGACATCGATAAATGCCATTGGGAAAAAAGATATTGTCAGCAACATCACAGGCTATTAAGTGTGATGTAGATGACGATTGTCCTTTATCAGCGTGCCAGATATTTGTCCCAGCAGATAACATCCGAATTATGAGCCCACAGTTTTATGCTCCACTTATTCATCAAATAAAATCCGACATAGAGTTAATGTAGAGATTAATCCTTACCGTCTATCACTCCATTCGGTAGGGAGAGCGAAGTGTTCGGCAGAATACAGGAGAGATAGATGGGCAAAAGCCAGAGCCACTTATAAACTAATGTAATAATGGATGCATTATAGACCGAGCTCTGGTCCCTTGAGGGATGTTTACTTTGCTCCAAAATGAATCTTCACAGACTCATTATCGGTAATGATCCAAGTGCCAGAATCCGACCACCTTTATACTACTCAAATTATGGGATTTTATCCACGTATACAGTATTGAACATTACTCAAAGTGTAGCTCTATAACGTCATCCTCGCTTGCTTCACGCTTTTGAAAAGAAAGTAAATGGTCCCGCCTTGATTTTAGTAAACTGCAAACGAATAATCATTAGGAAGACTCAGTACTAGCCCACCAGTTTGCAGTATTGACCAGGAAAATTTTACGCGTGACTGCAATTTCAGGAATACTGGAAGTGGAACACATTCAAGTTTGCCGTGCATCTAGAACAACATGTACTCATAAGCCAGCTGCTTTAAACAAAATCTGTTTGATTTTTTTTATTTAAACCGTAGGCTGCTGAAAAGTTCTTCGTTACAAACACTTGAACGGATTGCCGGCAGTGTTCTACTAAGCCTCTTCAGAACTACTATTCCGATGTTTCATCTTCATATATCGTCAACTGTGAACAAAATACGATTAGCTAGAAAATCCCACTTGATCTACTCAAGTTGAGGGGTTTTCGGCAATAAAGTAGTCAATACCACATTCTATTCCAGGTTCAACTGTTAAAATGGATGTAGCAGGTGTCACGCATTGTGGCACTTGTGTTGTTGTGTATTTGCTGCTAAAAGTCGTAAATTTCGATAAAACGAAGTGGTCGTACTGCGTACGTATCCGTCTGCGTGGCCTTGGGTTTTGGAAAGGGTGGATTTGAATGAGAACATTAAATGGCAGGTCAAAGTCAACCAGAAAAAATGAGTAAAGAAATCAGTCTTCTGGACTAGGCAATCTTGGCTTCAAGCAGATAAATTTGGTCGCCTGAGGTAGTACTTTGAGTAGTTCAACAGAAACGCACAGTAAATTCAATATTTTGTGTCAAGATATTTTGTTCAACATTATTTTTTTGGCCTGAAGGTATTGTCTTACATGTCTCTCCTGTTGTAGGTATGAACAGAGTCAGCAAAAAGCGTATGTTGCGACAGAAAGCGAATTCCTCAAACCTTGAAAAATGTGGATTTTACTGAATTTCCCCGGAAATTACTGGCGAATGTGGGGTTCGAGCTAGTCAAGCCTTCCCACAATAAATAAAGTTTAATCCCAAGAGAAAAACACACGAACCCCGTGGCAAGATGAAATGTCGTGTGAACGAACAGTGTTTTCCAAATATGTGAGTAGTTCTAAGCAGGCGATTTGAGAAAGACCTCATGGGGATACTCAGCATATACTCATGGTTCGACAGCTACCAGTTATGTTTAGGGAAAACTATCCTCCCAAACTAAAACGTTAGTGAAAAGATGGCGGTCTATCCTCGAGACGGAGATTGACAGGATACAGCCTAGTCTATCAAAAACCACTGAATGAAGGTCCCTGTGGGATTATGACGCGACTGATACTAAATGGCATGCTGATGTTTGAAAATACATCCGTTGTTGACTCAAGTGGTAGATTGGTGACCAATATATACACGACATTTCGGTTTAAGTTGGAGGTCTAATGTATTTTATCGAAAAGCAGCCACAATTCACGGTGGAAGTCCTTTTTATTATGCACAGCTTGTGTATTGCGCTGTCTCATTTTTGATTGTTGGTACGGGTCCACAAATTTCGCACTACAATATACACAACAATGATCAATTAAGAAGAATTTTCCCTTTTACCTAATAAATTTTATAGGGCCACTGGAAATATTAGCCAGTCTGCTGCTTGTCTGCCACTTTTCGGGACACTTCCGATTGTCCTAGCCCATTAATGTCCACCACACGTATTTTGTATTCGAACACCCAGATTTGTACCCGCGTTGCTCTAAATGCTTGTTTGCCCATTAACTTCATATTGACGGGGACTCATTCAAAATTCACTCCAATCCTTCGTGTAGGATAACACTGAAGTAATGAAATGATATTCAAATGCCAGTGTGTGTCTCGAAGCTTGATTTCAATGCCACAGATGTGGGGTTTTTGTAACCTATATACCAAGGCTGTAAATTTCATTTGCTGTCGCATCGTGTTGTCACTTGAAATCTGAACCTTTGCACTAAATCGGAGGTTACGAGTATGGCGCTGTTAGGTCGGTTATCGCTCCAAATACTACGTTCTGCGAATCCGACGGTTTCGGTATGTCACAATGATTTTCGAAATGGTTCCAGAGGAACGAGATTTTGGATGTGGGGTTCCCATCGTTTGTGTAAATTGGACGTTAAGCAGTATTTCAAAAGACAGTCGTTTTGATTGTATCACGTGAGAAATTATACTTTGCGAGCAATGAAATCGGGAACATATAAAAAGCATGTCCAATTTATTTTGCCTCTAGATACAGTTTTACCGGTCTGACCCGTGTTGGTGTTCCTACTATTACCCTACACACAAACGTGTCTGAGATATGCTGAAAGCTTAGATGCTCTGGACAAGTATCTTGCAATAAATCACTTTAATTTTCAACTTTTGATTATGTTGTTTTGCTTGCAATATATAACTACATGTCTTGCTAGTGAAGTGTTAATTAGGCTAATAAATTTAACGAAAATCTAAATACAAACATAGACAGCACTTTGAAGATATACAGTATCACTAGGAACTACAATTTATCGGTGCGTTTGGGAGGCTCACTAGAAGGTCTGCCATTGCACACTAAAACTGTTTGCTTTTGAGAGATCATATTTTCCTACAAAATAGACCAATAAGATGCTCTCAAAAGGAACGTTTATTAGTGACATCTCTTGATGGGACGGATTTCTCTGGGTAAAAAGCTTACTTTGCTAAATCGTTTATGAATTAAAACTGCGAATTCGGGAGCAAAACAAAACAAAACTGCAAATTCAAAGAAAACCGAGGAATATGAATATGTTCCACGGAAAATTAACTAGAAGAAACAAATCTATTAGATATACTCACAATGGTGAACCAGCCGGAAATACTCATCGTTTCTTCCGCTTGCGACTAAAAAGGTAAAGTTGAAATAAGGTTTAGAGTTGTAATTCTGGAAACAATCCATTTATTGAACAGAAGTACATGTACAACGCCGAAAAAATAATTAAATAAGTAAACAAGTAAGCAACGAACGTACTAATAAAGCCAGAAAATATGGTGAAAAAAAGTGGAAACGTGCATGTGAAAACGCCTTTGCAATTCGTTAACTATTGGAATTTATCGGAACAACAGTAGTTGAACCTTCAGATAACCTGTCTAACTTCATTGATTGATCAAATAATCACAGGGCGAATTATGCTCATCTACAGTCGGCGTCTATTCGGCTGAACATCACACTCAAACACATTAAGACACAAGGTTAACATCCAGCTAACTGAACTATGAAGCTTGACTTAGTTCAATAAAACATGGATATGCATGAGTTTACCCAGTCAATTTTATTACTTCGAACGAACAAAACGAAGTAATTTTAATAGTTTTGCTACTTCGTGAATAAACTAGTCGTGAATGTAATCCGGTAATGTGCTCTAATCCGGCAAGATCCAAAAGCCGTGTATTGTCTCATAAGGCTGATGTTTATACAGTGGTATACAATAGACGACTGGCAACGTCTTTTAAAAATCATTCCAGAAAGGTAGTATTGCTGGGTATTATTTAATAATTATTTCGTCACAAACCTTGCCACACATTCGGGTCGACTCACGCAGACAGTTTGTCTGGCTAAGCTGAAAAAATTGGCGGTCTTCCCATCCCACGCATATATATATATATACTCTACTCATATCTAGAGCAAAGCTGACGAATGGCTACTAGTCGTAATTGGGAAAGTTGTACGTTTTGTAGTCTTACAGAATATGTCTGTTGCGGATCACACGCATGTTTCTTCGATCAGTTGTAGATGCTACCATGATTTGTATAATTCACCCTCACATCAATTCCATGTAAACAGTCGCCTTCCTGTTTTGACGCAGTCATTCCGCTGAGTTCACATCAAAGCGGGGACATATAGGACACCACTATCGCTCTTATTAGAGTTCATCAGCAGTGCACATCCTTGAGCACATCGGGGTTTGGAAATCACAAATCTGACATGCGAGGCAAGCGTGGAACCACCATTCCATCAGCGCACCCTTGACGCTTATGAATTTTTACATCTGACCGGGCTAACATATTCACACTTGACTGGTGCGATAAGTTGGCCCAGTCGCTCCAACGACGACCTAGTAACTGTTCTAGTTGTGTCGGTCGATTTGGCCGCCCATCAGGACTTCCTCCAGAATTCCGCGCATCCCGCAAACATCTACAACTAATCCCAAAAATTGCGTAGCGGGTTTCGAGTGTCTCTGGCTCAGCTTGATTGGGCTGGTACATTGATCGAAAAAACCGAGAAAGTCACGAGATCCCTCATCAGAGTCGTCAGGCCAACCAGTCAGATTGCCCAAGGGTTGGTTAATCGTTCGCCGTTCAAACGTGAAAATGCAGATGCGCTGACAGTGTAGTGCTTACACGCCCTCTTCGCTTGTCCGATGTGCGGGGGATATGCATTGTTGATGAGCTCTAATAAGCGCAAAACTGCAGTCCAGAAAAAGATGATGACTGTTCAGACAAAGGTGATGTGAGCGCCGATTTCTTTGACCAGTGAAATGGTCACAAGGGTGCTCCGCACTTCCACAGTGGTCAAAATAATGACCTACTGATTCTGTGCGCCTCAAGTCAAGAACGGTCAAAGCAACAGTAAACGTTTGCCTTGAAAGCTGTTATGGAAACTGAGTGTTTTAATAAACAAGGATGAGGGGCTGAATGAGCTTCGCAGAAACGCACTTGAGAGGTATCGAAAACTGGAGCAACCCACCAAATGAGATTTTTAAATATCACCAGTTTTGCATTGATGACGAGTGTGCCCTCAACCATATGCGAAGCATCAGAAGCGGTAGCAGTGCTGCGAACGGAAGGCGTTCAATATCTTGTTATATCACTTATTATTATTCTGGAATAGAAAATTATTCTGGTCCCATCGGTTGAAAACCAATGGGACACAAAACACAGGACAACGAAGAAATGGCGAACTGATAAATCCCTATACTACCAATCCCATGACAATCAGTTTGGGATTTCTCTCACTCACAAATGCAAGGATTTGGATAACGTTATACGTGATATCCACAAAGACTGGGCTGGTTGTTTTGTTGTTGTGCCCGTTCGGTCGAACTGTCAAACTGCCCCGATTCAATAGTTGTGCCACCAGTTTTTCCTCAGCCGATAGTGTGCCACGCCAGGTATGGGAGTCTGGAATCACCGTCGGCAGATCATCATAAAATACTGAAATTCACGACGTAAAAAAAGAGTGTAACGTGATTAAAATATGAATCAGGAACCGGGTCATAATATTTATTAAATTATAGCTCAACATTAGTTCAAAAGACGGGTCAAATTCTACCTTAAGGATTTAAGATGGTTAATGGACATCCTGTAGATGGTAGGTTTAACAGGATGGGCGATCGCTAAATGTCGGAATATTATTTGATTCCAAGTCAACAAATTTAAATTCACCTCAGCTATGCGTTCGCACAACAGGCTCTACAACTTGTAAGTTAATTTGGCCACATGAGGATGCTGTGTGTAGTAAATGGTCAATGAGCTTTGTTTAAGTAAAATATACCAAATGTGAATTTGGAGACTGGGGCTTGGTGAAAACGAAATGGAATAAATTAACCATTATGGAACAGCATAGTATATGCATTAAAACAGATATTCGGCTGAACCGTGAACAAAACTGCGTCACACTTATGGTCATCAACAGAGTCGTCTCACTATCCACTGAGCGAGTTTGGACTTTCTCCGGATGTAAACGAAAAATGTCACACTTCATTCTTTTGACCTTTAGCAGGTAAACTCTAAGTAGTTGTGACCTCGTTAGTGAATGGGGGATGGATATAGACCGTTAGAAGAATAAGGTAAATCCAATGCTTGTTGAAATCTCCTAGAGACCAAATCTTTATTATAAGATTTAATGTTGGAAAGGATGGTTGCATTGCCTATGTAGACCAATGGGCCATTGAATGTGTAGCTATCAATTCGTTTTACACTAGAAAAAAATATCCTCTATTATTTCAGTAGTTTTGATTGTAATTCCATGTAACTCGAGCTTTTCTTCGATTTTCAGAGATGTTGTTCGATCTCACAAACAACTAGGGATGTCATTCGCTACCGTTTAAGTGATGAACTTAAATTTAGACCAAAAGTGACAGTCTTTTGCATCATTGATTCTGATTTCTGGGCAGAATATCAAGGCATTAAGACATTGAAATAAGCTGCCGGTCTTTTATGAAGAAACGCACACTCACTGGCTCTTGTTGCACTTTGAAAAAAGCTTTGTACTTGTTTGTAGTTAGCAATGAAGAGTTGTGATACTTATTTAAACCACTTAACTAAGGTTACAATGTCTTGAGAGCTTTCAGAGCTTGGCCTAGAACTTTCTGTGGAAAATCTGCGAAGCTTCCCTTTAGTCCTTGCATCATCCACTTTCTGCCTATTTTATCGCAACAGTAGAGTGTGACAGTTTTGTGCTGCTATAGTTTTTAGCGTGCAAAAGATAAATAAATATACCTTTTGTTATTTCTCCCATTTCCATAGATGTTTGACGCGGAGTCTTACATTGCCGGTGCAGCCAATCTTGCAATAAACGGAAAGGCTTGTGTATTTGTAGGCCAAAGAACCCTTGAGTTTAACCGTACCCAAGTGGTATTTGTAAACAGTCGAATAAGGGGTTGTTGTTCGGGTCTGTAGAATAGAATTTATAACTCTACTGGCGTGAACATGCTCTCCTGATGGATGGTGGTCCATTTACCCGTTGGGCAATTTCCTGGCTGCTACATTTTCTTTCGATGCAAGTCACGATGTTTTCTTTTCCTTGAATCGACAAAGATTGTCTGCTCACTACAAATCACATTTAGTGTAAGATATTTATGCCTGAGGTGCTTTATTCACTTTTCAAGTGACTCGCATTTTGTGTTTGCTTTACTTGACCAAACCAGGTTTTTCAGTAACGTGCGAGTGAACTACAAGCGCGCTGCAACCATGCTGGATCACTGGAATAGGCAGACGAGTGGCCACTGTGGGTTGTGTTGCGCGGTCAATGGGTGAGTCAGGTAACGTATTCTGGCAAATTCACTTGATAGATATTCGAACCTTACTAAGACAATGGCTGTTTCACATAACTTTCACTATTTAAGGCCCGCCCTACAGATGGAAAAATGTAGTACCAATAAATTGAACACGAATTTATCGGCATAATATTTCAGTGCACAGACTGCGTTTAAAAAACTGACCTAGACTATTGAGAACTCGCTCTACTGTCATGCCTGATATCAGTATGAAAGCACGAAGTCACGAGGTCATGAGAAGCCACAGGTAAAAACTTCACGCGACTATTGTGTTTAAATCACACAGGATGCACAACCATTGTCATAAGAGGCCAAAAGATTGATCGATGCACGGAAATTTTTGCCGAAAAATGGTCAATCAATTTGTGCTTAAAATAGGCGTCATAGACGGTTGTTTAAATTTCTGGAACAGTGCATGATAGTGTTAGCTTAATCAGCTGGGTGTATTCCCCAGAAGTTGAGGTCTCCGTATTCTTAGGCCGCTTACAGATTCCATGTCGAAGAAATCTAGTGGAAGAAAATAAACTCTGTTGGAATGTATATTGCAGGCGCCCCATAGACTCGAGGTCGCATCTCAGCCAGGACCAAAATACCACAAAATCAGCTATTAATCCCAGGTTTCTCTTTAAAGTCCTTACGCAACAAAGCAAATACATTGTCATACTCGTTTCACCCGGAATAGCGTGTAGTTCCTGAACGGCCGAATTGCTGGAATATATTGTCTTAACATGAAAAAAACGCGAGTAAAGCGGAATGGAATTTTTATTGTTTTACGGAGTTCTGTACTAAAAGTAACGCAACGTTTCAGGATACTGACTTTTATGTGGGGCTTGAAAAAACAAAAATAAGGAATAAGAAACAAACAAATAATAAAATAATCGAGAATAATAATAAAATACGTTCTGCAAAATTTCCGGATATCGCTGCACCTTGCGAGTACGCTAGCATGAACACTGACACAATAGCAACCTATTGGGAAATGATCGCAAGCACATCGAGAAGAAATATAACACTTGGGTTTAATTAGACGCTGTTATTTTTACAACTCTGTCGTAACAAAAGATGATACACATTAAACGGGTCTTTCTATTCCAGAAATTAAGAGCGGATACGCCACGGTATTGCCTACTGCTACCGAATTCGCCTAGCGTTCTCCCGAGTGTGGTATCTAATCCAGTTTATAGCACCTACAGAGACTGTAAGAATGATTGACTGGATTCTGTATACTACCGGTAAATGACGTCATACGTGTATGGACCAATGAAGGCTTCTGACTTCAACCAGAATGCTCCTCAAAGCTGCTAGGGAATCCGAAGAACGGACAAAACGACGTACTGTGAAACCACATCATAATATTTTGGCTGCTCTTGACTGAATTTCAAAGAGAATGACGTATCTTCCTAAAGAACGGAAGGATCCCAATTATTCGTGCCGAGTACCGTCATGTTGAGTGATTTCGTGGCATTTAGAGGGAATCGCTCTGAAAATTAACGCAATCAGATTGGTTTTGGGGGTTCAGTTTTTGGTGATATCCCCACTAAACAACATGAAATATGTTCGAATTCTGTCGTATTTAAAGGCTGCACACAAGAAGTCTTTCTGTCGCATCGGTTCGCCTATATCAATGAGTAGGCTATGTTCTAGGATAATCATGAACTATTGGTTACACACACCGTCAGCAAGCCGGATGAAAAAACGAAATCGAGTTTCAAACAGCAATAGACAGCTAAACAATGTATTTTGTTTTGGTTTATCCTGGATCTTCCAAAATATAGCATAGTAATTGTAGGACGCTGGTCATAGAGGAAGCATTCCGACTGATAATGAGCTTATTTTTGGGTAAAAAGGCCAACACAGATTCCTTTTTCGCAATTCCGGGTGGTGCAAAAAAGAACATCATCGTGGAGATTTCGTCCTGTAAGTGAAGCCAATCTATGCTGAAAATCCGAGAAGCACTGTACAGCTGTTTCATCCTTATTGGGAATCATCAGCAGTG